GAGTTTATGAACTAAGAAAGGACTCTTGACTTTAGGGACCACAGGGTTTGGTTCAGTGTTGTTGAAAAGCTGCCCAATGAGGCTCTTCTCATACCGGAGCCTGTTGGCGACAGGAAGCACCTCCAAACGCATGGTGGGTAAAGACATGGCTTGGCGAAACACCTCTTGAGACCTGAAACATTGAGAGTGAAAGCTTGTCGTACTGTTCTGTAATGCATATTTGTAGATAACATGAATACAAAGATGCTCAGTGCTTCAAAGACTCAACAGCCTCCTTCATTAGCACCATTCAAGAGCCTTTTCCCTCAAGGACTTCCAGTGGGAATAACTTCTCAGCACTTCCATCTTACTACATAAGAACTACGTGGAATTTACCTATAGGCTAGTGTTATTGTGTTAAAATTGCAAGCCAAGAAAGGTAGTGCATTTCAGATTTTACAGGTAGTTCACAATAAGATTGTTAAGATGCGTTTAGAAAATAGATGGAAAATAAATGGACATTCAATAGAGTGAGTTGACTTCAACATGAGTAAAATATCACAGATTTTTTTTTTTTTTTTAATCAATAACGTAAATTCTGAAGATTAATTCAAGGTTTTACAAACATTGTACAAATTCGTTCAGCTTGTATTTTACAAATCAGACCCACTGTAACATGCAAGTTATCGAAGTTATGCAAGCTGGAAAAACGACTGATTTATTAATACTGATAGGCAAAATAAACAATATAAACAATTCCGTTTTTTGCCCAACAATATGGTGTTTACTGGTACCAAGCAACATACTGATCAAAGATTGTTATATATGCGAAATACTGGCATGTTAATATGGAATTTAAATGGACTGATGCCAAATTTCATATAGCACAATTGAAACTGATGAAATTTCTGATTAGTTGCCCCTCACGGTCCTATTTTCATTTGCATAAAATTAAATATGGCACTATGCTAACTACTTTCAATTGATGTGTGGCCAATTTTGCACAAATCAGCTATTTTGCAATGACTTCTAATCCAGTCTGTCTTCAGTATCTGACCTATATTTTATAAAAACATACAAAATGGATAGCATAACTAACCACAGAAGTCATGTGACAAAGGACACAATTCAAGTTGTGTTAAATGTGTTGAACATAATTTTTGGTGGTGCTGTGGTAAAAGATTTTACCACGGTTAAGTGTCTTGTTCAAAATGATGTAAAACCCCCTTAGGCATGGTTAAAATAAATAAATAAATAAATAAACAAAGATCACTGGAATTAAAAGGAAATTCAATAAGGTGAATTTCCATTTCATGCTGACATCAACCTTCATAAAATCACTGGGACTGAATCTATCCATTTCTTAAAGCTGCAGTCCGTAAGTTTTGCCTCTTTGTCGCCATCTCTGTTTGAAAACCTGCAATTGGAGCTATGTGCGTAATTATCTTCCTTGCGTGGGTTGTGCAGCGGCACGGCTCCAGCGCGGATGAATCTAATTTTTTGAGGAGTATGTGTGGCAGTCAGTCACCGCATCGGTGTGGATATTGTACTTTGCACTCACAGATTCTCGCCAACGTCTTGGAATATATGACTCAAATAAGCATTTTCACCAGATATTGTCATCTGAACAAGTAAGTAACAAGTCTGCCACGTTTGTTCTGACCAACTGAGGAAAAAAGCATTACAATAAATCGCACTACCAATGGTGATTTAATCTAAATTAGCTCATATCACATCAAACCGTGCAAATTATTATTATTGTTATACTTTATTCTCAAATGATTAATGTTAAAGGGGTCCTATTATGCTTTTTCACTTTTTCAACTTTAGTTAGTCTGTAAT